AGGAAGGAGATGGCGAAAGCAGCAGGCGGGAGCATGGGCTTGGCTGCCATCTTCAGCTTCTCCAGCTCGGCCTCCTGGAGCCGCTTGGCCTTAGCGCGGCGGTTCTGGAACCAGATCTTGACCTGGGTCTCGGTGAGGCTGAGCGAGCTGGAGAACTCGGCACGCTCGGCAATGGACAGGTACTGCTTCTGCCGAAACTTCCTCTCGAGGGCGAGCAGCTGCGCCGTGGTGAAGGGCGTCCGGGGCTTCCTGTTCGTCTTGTGTTTGCGCAGGGTGCAGGCTGGGGGGCTCAGCCGCCCTGCGCCGAGGAGCAGCCAGAGGAGAGGGGGAAGGAGAGAGATACCTCGTTAGCAGCGCCCGAATCCACGCACCCCACAGTGCCCCCACCCTACAGCAGCTGGGGTGGAGAGAAAGGGGAAAATAAGGTCCCGCTCAAAGGGAAGTGGCCCAAAAACTCCAGGGATGCCCACAGCACACTTCAAATTGATGAGTCCCGTTCCAGTAAAGTGGCTGTTTTACTAAGGAATTAGGTTTTTCAAGACTCCCAGGACCGAAGTTACTCGCAGTGTTTCGTAGCACGAGCCTCTCTGACTCCATGGAAAAACTGCAAAGGGCAGGAATCAGGAGTCGGATACCCAAACACCCTCTCTCTGCCTCCTGCCTTCACGGCTCCTGGCTCATACAGAGGAGATGTAAATGAAGGGAGTGACCCTCCAAAAAAAAAGTCCTCTCCTTTTTATTGGATTAAGGAAAAAAAATAAACAAAACTGGCTGGCTTCTCAAACTCACACTCTTCATTAGGCCCCTGGGAACAGGATTAAGCATGTAATTAATTACGAGCTCTGAATTCACACTCAGCCTTGTATCTACTGCTCTTCACCGGGCTGCTCCTCTCCTCTTATGTAAGATTTCTAAGGGTCCTCAACCTCGATCTGTACCCGGTTTACTTCCAAACAACAACTTTTACTTTGCAATTTAAATAAATTCTCTATACAAGCCCTGTCGGGAAACTTTCCTTTCTCCAAGGGACAGAGAACGCAGCTCTGTTCACAGCTTTGCTAAGAGCACCCCAAACGCTCCGAACAGCCTCAGCCCAAGCTCTCCCCTTCCCACGGGAGCCCGGTCGCGGGCAGGCGGCCCGGGCTGTCCGGCCCGGGGCTCAG